CAAATTAGACTATATTGTGCAACTTGTGTGTGTGTTTTCTTGTCATTAAGTAAATATTGCTTGCTATTGGTACTAAAAAGTCGATGTAAAATACTTGTTAAATAAGTCAGAATTGGAAGGTCCTTTGCCACCAGCTTGGACAGATTAATGCCAGCAGTTTAGGATATGCAACTAATTAAAGAAACAGTCTGACAGCAATACTGCTAAATTCAGTTTTATTAACTGGATTTACCTCAGTAATGGAACAGTGGAAAAGTCATTTTTAAAGTGCTTCTGTTCACTATGCAGATATACACCCTGTGGTTATTTATTATGCTGCAGTTATATATTGGGTCTCGAAAGTTGTCACTGAGTTTCCATGAGTACTGAAAAAATTTGGTCATCTTAAAATGTCCATACACATAACTTTCTTTCCTTTATGTGCATATTTATAACAACTTATTTTCAATGTGTATTTTTTTTTTTAAGCATACAGTAGTTAACTATTCAGGCAGTGAGGAGTTTGTTATTACTAAGTCTTTTTGTGTATTGCCTGACTAGTGATGCTAGGACCATTGATAAGGACACTGGGTACAGGTCCATCCAGAAGAAAATAGCAGCATAGTTTTCCTCTCTGAATGAGTGCATTGCTCACCAATGAGGTCCCGTGGGAGGCCTGAGAATGTGAGACAGCAGATAATTTGTATTGCGTTAGGAGTGCACGCTTCAGATGCTCACTGTTCCATGGTCTTGACATTTGAAGTGAAAGTATACATTGAATATAATTATCATCTCTGTGCTTGTGTTGTTGTTTGTTTTTTTCTTTGGCACAGTTTACACTGAAAATCAATAAGTAAGGCGACCACTTTCATCCTCATTGTAAAGTCCATGCAAACATGAAAATTGGGTCTGGAGTCCACTCTGTGTAAATTGCTGTGCTTTTCTCGCAGCTGAGAAAGCAATATTCTCCATGGACAGAAATGAAGAAATACAAGTGAGGTGCCAGTTAAGAAATATGTAAACATTTACAGTGGCAAAAACAAACACATGCCCTTCACAAAGCCTGCATGATAAACAAGGATAAGTGTGCAGCTGAACAAAAACAGAAAAGTGTGTAGGGATATTTTCTCATACTGTGTACCCTGAGACCACCAGGAATAAGTTGACTGAGGCGGCATGCTGTTGACATCCACTGCTTATGAGACACTGTTAACACACACACTCGGCACTGATAAGGGAGTAACTGCAGATAAGGGAGATGAAAAGAGGAAATAAAGGCACAAGAGCTTTAGCTGACATTGAACTCAAAATGAGCAGACTGTGTGGACTTTGGGGTCTTGGGAAAAACAAATGTCAGAAAAAAAATATCTCGGTTACTGTAGCCACTTCTGGCAAAAGTGAGAAATGAGTAATAACACTGAACTAGTGAGAGACCTACAAAAGAAAGGATACTGCAAAAAAGTAAACATACTAACGCAGACATATGCATGACTTAGAATGTGAAGCCGTCTGTTGGATATGTGCTAGGGTCATTTTGTTAGTAACTATGACAAAGGGTTGATCTATATATTTGAACTTAAGTCTATTTTATAGAGTTAAGTGCACGTTAAAATACCAACCCATTTTAATATTTCAAAGTGGTTGAGTTATAAGAGACGTGTGTTAGTAGGGAAGACAAAGAGAAAAACACCCAAACATGAGCAAAAGTGGCGTGGCAACCTTTACAGACAAATTATATTTGTTTTAAGGAAACTGGCTCTAAGCATTTCTCTCTGACCTACCATTTCAGAAAGAAAGCAAGATAAAGAGAGTTCCAGGAGGCCATGAAATATGTATGCAAGCAGTTAACCTTAAACACACTGTCAGACTCTACTCAGTCATGACAGGTCAAAGCTTAAGTCGTTTGTTTGTTGTGCCTAAGTTTCTGAATTAGACTAGCACAAGTACCCGTAGAGAATGTAACTCATGTAACAAATACATACTCATTTTTGAGTATTTTAGTTGTCAGGTTTCCTGTTTCAGCACAGTGTATTGACACTGCAGATGAAGTCAAGGCTTTAAAACCCAGACAAACTGAATGTGGAGTTCAGCTGAACAAAGGGAGGCTGAATGTGCATAGGAGTTATTTAGTGTTTAAAATGTAGCTTATCTTCAAGGACTTCAAGACACATTCTGCTCTGTTTTAATGGAGGAAACTACTCCACTGTAGCCTTTTTTTCCCTTAACATACTGTCATGCAGAACTACAGCTCAGCTGTTGCATAGAACCCCATTCAGTATACAGAAAAAAAATTGTCAAAATACTGTGTAGAAGTTTTCTGGCATCGTTGACATATCATATTTTCTGATGCAACTGGGCACTAACAATACAGAATTGTATTTTATATAAATGTAGCTCCAACTGCAACTAAATGCCTTTGGGTGCCAGCACTTACTGCTAGTGTGTTTTACGTCAACTAAATGCACCATTTCTGTCAAGCCTACAACATCTATGGAGTTCTGGACACCATCCTATGCACTCATGGGAATTAAACTGATATGAAAAACTGAGTTGGGTTAGAAGATGGGAAATCCCTTGCAACTTTGTGCCAGAAAATGTAGGGAACTCTGTTGCTATGTGTTAAAAGCAGGCAGGAAGCGTTTCCTCAACATAAGGCAGAGCCCACTCTCAACCAACAGTTGCTGTTCAGTATGCAGTAACATTACCAGCAACACCTAAGGAAGCTTCTTCACCGTCAAAGACAGCATATGAGTGTTATTTCAGAAACATGTTTTGTTATCCTTTACTGTACTTTTAATGGGAAAAACAATTATTTGAGCATGATGGGATTGTTCAAATCAGATTTGGTGCCCAAGAGGAATGTTGTCTCCTCCAGGGAAGAAGATATGGGCAAAAACAAAACAAAAAAAACCCCTACAAAAGCAAAACATTGCACTGTTAAATGTAACTGCACATAGAGCCTGGGGAGAACATGCAAACTCCGCAGAGAAAGTCACAGACTTAGCCGGAACCGGAATCTTCTTGCTGTGAGGCGACAGCACTAACCTTGCACCACCATGCTGCCCACAGTGCTATGGATCCAAGTTTAATTTCCTGCAAACACTGCAACAGCAAATTAATCTGAAAACACTTGAGATGATAGCCATGATGATGATGATACCTTATACCTAAATCATACTGGTAGATGGCTTCGTGAACTATGTAAATACACATCAGGTACCACCTGTAATTCATAATGTTTAATATAAAAAATGGCCTCACCGAGCCGATGTGTAAACTTACTTTCCAACCATGTGCTTAAAAATAAGCAGATACAGTCTCATGGCAAAATGTAACCACTGCTGACCTAAACTTACATGTTGCCATCTTGTATGAACACATATGTAGTGATGCTTTCACTAGCTTGCAACAGTTATATTCCTAGACTACTACTTTTTTTGTACTTCTTTAGTGCTTTCTACAGGTAAGATACCATAATTGCTTGCTCAGTAGACCATTCGACTGCTTGAGAGTGCTTGACTCTCATTTAGAATTTTGGCTGCCTTCTGGGCATTTTAGATCAATTTCTATAGTGATAACACAGGGGTTCAAACTTTTAACACACTATTTGGAAATATGCCAAAAAAACATATCTAATCCTGTGGCCATAGGGAAGTCTAGATACCTAAACAAAAACAAAATCAAACAGTATTAGATTTTCTAATTTCCTCTTCAATTTACATTAATAGAAGTTTTCATTGAATGTGTTGAGCCGCTGGCTGGAGTCCTAGTCAGAATCCCATAGTAGATATGTACATTGCAAGGATAATTTGTTTTTCTTTCAAGTCTGCACTGTAAAGCACTGTGTCATTTCTGATTTTGATAAGTACTATATAAATAAACTTTATTATGGTGCACTGAAGCAAGCTGCAGAACATCTGTTATGGTTACCCTTACAAAGCAAATAGTTATGTGTCTTCGCTTTCACCTTCATCCTCATCATCTGCCTCTTCCTCTGCTCTTGCATGCTCATTGGCATGGATGATGAGCAACCACTGAGCTCAACACATCACCATTATTCATGGAAAGAGTTCACCTAGAAGCCAGACTGACACACCAGAAGGCATTGATGAAAGGCAGGGGTAGACAGATAGTTGGTGATGAATGGCCCGTTCCTTTGGAGATGGCTATATCGCTGTATGTTTGGGGACAGAGATGCTTTTGCACTTTTCTGTGTGGGTGTTTGTTTAGAGCCACATTTGTCCAGCCCTGTACTTTCAGTGAAGGCTATTGCAGGTATGATGCTGTAGCCTACATACAGAAAAATCATCACTCTTTGCAGATTACTTGAACATCTAAATATTTCAGTTGAATTGAAGAAATACTTCACAAGTCATATGACACCAGATGATGTCTATTAACAGATGTTATAGACACATGTATGTGGATAGCATCTTTTTTAGATATCCACATTTCAAACTTTCTGTGGGGTCAAACACAATAATGGGAGAATAAGGTCTTCTCATCTTCTCATCATTAGACTTTGCTGGAATAAATGATTCAGAACTTATTTAGACAGTTCATACTGTAGGACCTCCCTGTAATTTTGTTTGTATATTTCTAATTGTAAGGGAAGAGAATCAAGCCCCCCCTACCTACCCTCCCTTATTTCCCCAGTTCCAGTTGTTTTGGAGTCATTCATCAAGAAGACTGGGCCATCAGGGAAAGTACTGGCAGGATCCCTGTCGAGATGAGGCAATATTAAATTGATGGAATAGCTTAAAGGCCAGAAAAAAATAGAATAGAGGGAATAACACACGCTGTATTTATACAGTGTCTAAATGGGACAGCTTACTGGATTGTGATGTATTTCATACTCTTAAAAAAACAAACAAACAAGCTTTTGTGGTTTTATGACTTTATATAGTTGTGCTGTGTATGTATTTGTACTATATCCTGACTATATCCTCTTTGCAAAATGATTTTAACTTTAAAGCCTTATGACATACCTGCCGCTTTCTCTTTCCATGTCTCTTCCTTAGCCATCGGCCCAAACAAGGATTCTGTCGAGGATTTGATGCTGAGGTTCCAGGAAAGTTTCCGTGCTTCTAACACGCCAGACATGTCTCACTACCAGCACGTCATGCACACCTCGTCAACAGGCCGCAGGAGGGGACTGACCCAGACAAGAGGTAGGACAAAAAGTAATTCAAAAACATTTACTTGTTCTCTTTTATTTTACAGGAACATGTTTGTATGCTAAGTTTAATGTTTTGGCCATGGATATTTGATTACTGAGCTGTTTCCACCCAGCCTAATGTGATGTGTAAATTAAGATGTGCATTTTCACCCATTATGGGTATTTGAAAGCCTATTAGGTAGTTTGTCGACTGAAAATCACTTTGTCACTTGCTTTGTATAAAATACCAAACTGGGATACCAAACGCATATTCTCGACATTAGCACTTCATATTATTAGTAAGTTTGTGTTAATGCATTTCACTCTCCAGGTGTCAGTTGATGTCCAGTGATGTTGATGTAATTCATTTAAAGCATGACAAATTCACATCTCTGAGCAATGCAGATGTTCCAGCTCGTTTGACTTGTATAATTTTATAATAAGTAAACAAACACAAAAGAATTAAAAAAAATTATAATAAAAATAAAAATAACAGAAAGGTTTGTATCTTTTTGTGTGAGTGTTTGTGTATGCGAGTGGGTAAACGGGCTAATTGTGCTTTCTTGCATAGAAAAGTGCTATATAAGACCATTTACCATGTAATTTCCTTTGAGTATTTGCAACTTAACATTTCATATCCAATTTGATATCTGTGAAACATTTTAGATTGCATTGTTTGACATCATGAAACTAATGTAGTCACCAGATATAATGTAGTTGTTTAAGTGCATGGGAAATAGTATAAAAGGTGACTTTAATTAGAATCTCTATTATCATGTGCAAGTGAACTTGGATTCATTTACATAGTCAAGTTTCAGGATCACATCTTGCAAGGAGAACACATACTTCTTTATTTACAGCATAGTATGGAGTTCTACTTATCTGCCTATACGTATGAATGCAGAAGTTTAGGCTTAAGTTAAATTTAAAAAAAAAAATACCCAAGATGAGTCACTGAATTTAGTGCATTTAAAAAGCTTATCTGGACAGTTTTAACCTTTACAATTTAACATTTACTTTTATTATAATTGCTGCAGCTTATTCTGTTGGACCTTGAGATGTGACACTGACATGACACCAACCTGCACCACAGCAATAACTTTAGCTTATTACCAGAAACATTCCCAGTCATTTTAATCAAGCATGTTTAAAAACGAATAGGCAAACAGGCTACATTGTTATTACCAGTGAGAAATTAACTTAATTTAAATGAGACGTTATCCATGATGAGTTTTGTCCTTGACAAAATAACTTAATAGTCTTGATTGCTGTCATCTATAGTACTGTAGAAGCAAAATAGAAGACTGAGCAACTTATTCAAGGATTTTAAATTTTTCAGAGAGTTTAAGTTCTTAGTGTTTTAAAATACTTCGCCTTGGCTTTTGCTTAGCTTATTTAACTCTGAAATATTAACACCTATCCTATGTCAACCTTCAGAGCAGATGATGCCTCTAAAGATAATCTGTGCAAATCAAGCTCCTCAAAACTTTAAGACGGACACCGCTGAGAGGTGTTGTCCCTGAAGTCAATAGGAAAAGATTCTCATTAGGGATGAAAATGTGTCAACTGTGCAAACGTGTGGCCAATACTACAAACCTGATAACAGGCCAAACTCTCACACTGAGGAGGAAGCTTTATTAGATGGAGTGCAGTTAAAGAGGGAAGTTAATTGGCCAAACCCAGAAGGTGGTACGGGTGTGTAAGTAAAAAGAATGCAAAGCCAAAAGTATGTGTATGCCAAGAGAAAATTGGATTGTATTTGAGTAGATGCTTTTCCTTTCCATATTACTATTATTGGTAGATATTTTTATGCTGTGCAGTAGCATTGTCCCTGCATATACATGTGTGGTGACTGAAAGGTGAGGCTTAAGTTCTGCTGTAAGTGGCTGCAAGTTGTTTTCTCTCTCCCTTTCTTCTTAATTGTCCAATAAATAACTTCAGCAGTATCAAATATACTTTTGCAAATTTAGCTGTGGTCCATATTACAGACATAGGCTTCTTTAACAAGGTACTGAGAAAGAAGGGGGAGCATGTTAAGGCTGAGATTATTTTAGCCCCATTATGGCCACATTTTTGGGCTAAAATGATCGTATCCTGAAGTTGCCCTGGGCCTCATGTCCAAGGAGAGGACATGTTTGTCAAAACAATTCACCCCTGTCTATTTAGCAAAAGGGAAGCACACTGCTGCATCTCTAAAACCTGCCTCTACAACCAAATTGCCCCTGAACTCAGTGAATAACTTAGACGACGCTGTCCTCAGCTCGGTCAGCTTCTTCTACAATACCATGATGTTAATGTGCCAACAACACATTTCCACTGACATGTCACTTTTGAGAACAGACAACAGACTACTGTGCACAACAGGAAAATCTATTGTCACGGATATCAGGGTAGGAGGAAAAACAGTACGTACTGTCTAGATATAATGCATGAGGGAGTCAACATCCAATAGTGCACACAATTTTCACAAAACACACATTTTCTTTCTTGAAGCCAGAGAGAAAGCAAACATGCCATTAATGGCCAATCAGTGAGCGTAGAAAGTGGGTTCAGGAGCAAATATGCGGACCAGCATAGAAACATATGATATTAGGGCTTACAGTAGTTGTCAAGTAAAAGTGTCTATACAAACCAAATTAACTTGATTTGTATTTACATCAAAAGGAGAATAGGTCTGTGCTGCATATCTTCTGTACTTAGCAGGAAAAGTATAGTAGCAGTTATGTCTGCTCAGCTAAACCCAGCAGCTACTCCTGGTGTCCACAGTCCTGCATATTGAAATTTTGCTTAGTGAAAACATTTCTTACTCCTCTGTCAGCATGTATTGCCCTAGTTTCTTGTAGCACTGTCTTATACATGGACTCGCTGAAAATGTTGGCGCATGCAAAGATTTTGTAGTTTCTGTCATTACCTTCATTGCCACTTTCTCATCTTGGCAGCTACTCTCAGGATCTTGCTTGGAGAACATTTCACCAGTGATTATCAAGAAAATGCATGAATGAATTTATCAAATGTAAAATTAGACACATTGATAGTGATTTATAAGTATAAATACAAATATAAACAATGGTCAACATGTCTGGCTTTGTGTTGTTACAAAGAGCCAATTTGTTTCTAGTATGTTATTAAGAAACAGAAGGCTACCTAAGAGACTACTTTAACGACGACACTGCTGCATCTTAAATCTTGTTTGAATGTTTTACAGATGTGAGGCACATGAAATCATTTTTATAAATGGGACCAATTTTTCTGTCTACCCACAGCCACATGACAGTGCTGCTGTTTACAGGATTTACCAGGCTGGTGGGGTTATTTATGGGGATCCATGTACCAAACTGGGAACCCTGCCACATGTTGACAGCACTATAGGCATGATGCCAGCACTGGGCCCTGGTTTCAATGCTGCTTGGTTTTCAGACAAACTGGAGTGAAGAAAGAGGAGTTAACCCAGTGGACTGTCCAGTCACTGATCTGGTTCCTGTCTGAGAGAAGTTGTATGTATTAGGAATTTTCCCATGTGGTGTCAAGTTTGAAGAGAGACTTGTTTTCATGTTTTGTGCTGCATGGAGCACACTATTACAATGAGATGCACCCAGAAGCCCTTTCTTTTATGCCACTGTAACCCCCTGGATATGTCTTTTTCCAGCTCTGTGAGCTCTGGTTCTATGATCCCCCTTCTCTCTGAAGTTAGGTAGCAGTTCATCCTAGATTCTTTATTATTTGTTTGATTCCTTGTTTAGTGCTTTGATATGTCTGTGACTTTGACCTTATTGCCCCAGTCAACCGGTTGGGGTGAGTGGATAGTGAATAGAGAAAAGAAAGGAAAAGCAACAACACACAACAAGCAAAACAAAACAATTAAATGTTGGACAGGTTAATGTGGCTGGTGACTGAGCTCCGGAGCCAGGGATGCCTGCAGAAAGGTACAGGGAACGAGAGAGGACACACTACAGGAGAGAGGAGATACAAAGTTCTTGATGTTTAATGGGGCCATATAAATGCATGGAGAGTGAGGAGAGAAGGGGAGAGGAGAGTAGAAGGGACGAGATCAGAGCATCATGGGAGATCCCCAGCAGCCTAGGCCTATAACAGCACAACTAAGAGAAGGTTCAGGGTCACCTGAGCCAGCCCTAACTATAAGCTTTATCAAAAAGTATGTCCATTAGTAAGAAATCAGTGTGTTAGTTAATTGCTGTATGTTTATAATGTAACAACCATTTTGGTCTGCCCCACCCTTCAAACATGGATAAAAATATGCATGTCATAATATTCTGTGAAAGGCTTATGTTCATCCCCACAGGGTGTTCCCAGTAAAACTAGTGTTACAATATGTAGCCATCATTGTTCTGCCTTAGCCACCACCAGAAAAAAATAAAAAAGGAAGAAAAAACAACAACTTTGAAGTCACAACACACTGTGGTTTTGTCAAATATTAAAAATGCACTGCCTTATTAGCATGCACCTCTGTGCATGCTATTGCCTGTTGTGGTATTAATGCATTTCCATGTACTGGCTCGAAACTGTGGTAGTGGTTTGATGTGTCATAACGAATACTTTGGCTCATTACGATGAGGATAACCTTATGGTTATTATCTAGCCTTTCTCCAGTTTAATTGATGCTTTGAAGTAGGACATGAAAGTAGTTCTGTGCTGTTGTGTGTGAGTGAAAGGGGGAGAGAGAGAGAGAGGGGGAGAGAGGAAGTGTGTGTTTGTGTTTGTGTTTCTTGGTGCTTGAATTCATTCTGTGCTCAGCTTCACTTTCAGAAGTCCTCAATCTTCACTGCAGACAAAACACAGTGATTACAGCTGTGGGTCTGCAGCCCTAGGGCTTCTCTGCAACAGGCCATACAGCTGATTGACTGCCAAGTCGGAGCAGTGTGTGACTGTTTTTGTATGTATTTTGTGTGTGAGAGAACTAGAGGGACAGAGAAAAAAAAAAGAAAGAGAGAAATCACACAAATATCATTTGATCCAAAAAATAGCCCCTGAAAATAAATAAACCTGTTTGATCAG